GGGAGGGGCCCGAGTTCCCGAAAAAAAAAAAAGAAAAAAAAAAGAAAAAAAAAAAGAGAAAACAGAGTCCACTGGATCCAAAGAAATTGTGTAATGAATATTAATAATTTCTGTACAAAAATGCCACATACAGGGCTTCCCTGGTGGCGCAGTGCTTGAGAGTCCGCCTGCCGATGCAGGAGACGCGGGTTCGTGCCCCGTTTCGGGAAGATCCCACATGCCGCGGAGCGGCTGGGCCCGTGAGCCATGGCCACTGAGCCTGCGCGTCCGGAGCCTGTGCTCCGCAAATGGGAGAGGCCACAACAGTGAGAGGCCCGCATAACGCAAGGAAAAAAAAAAAAAAAAAAAAAAAAATGCCACATACAACCCAAGATTTCCAATAGTATTTTGGCAGATGGAAAACTATACATCAATCAGTATGCAGTAATGGAAGTTACTACTTGTTTTTACTGAATTTTAAATTAGAACATACCTTTCCAGCCATTTCCACTGTAAAAATCGAGAAAAATATGAGCTTTCTTGGTATTCTTCAAATGATTCTCCACTAAAATAGTCATGGACAATTCTAGAAAAAGTTTTTATGCAATTATGTACATTTGTTGCATTACAAAATGAAAACAACTGTGATTTAGTGCATAAATGGGCACTGGATATGGGAAAGGGAATCATTACACACAATTCAATACATTGAATTTTGCAGTTACAGAATTCCACACTAGTTTCTAATGCTACCAGTAAAAATATGAAGGCAAGAATTCAAAACAAATAAAATCAATTTACCTTCCCAAAGTCAGAGGTTCCTTTTATGTATATGAATATTAGTGAAATAATTACTTGATAAAAATAATCTACCAGTAGAAAGACAAGAGTTTAAAATGTATTCAGGGACTTCCCTGGTGGCACAGTGGTTAAGAATCCGCCTGCCAATGCAGGGGACACGGGTTCGAGCCCTGGTCCGGGAAGATCCCACATGCCGCAGAGCAACTAAGCCCGTGCGCCACAACTACTGAGCCTGCGCTCTAGAGCCCACGAGGCACAACTACTGAGCCCACGTGCCGCAGCTACTGAAGCCTGTGCACCTAGAGCCTGTGCTCCGCAACAAGAGAAGCTTCCGCAATGAGAAGCCCGCACACCCCCGCTCGCCACAACTAGAGAAAGCCTGCACACAGCAACAAAGATCCAACGCAGCCAAACATAAATAAATAAATAAATCTATTTATTTTAATAAATAAATAAAGCACTCAATATATTATTTTATGCTACACATTTCTTGAAGAAATTGTATGCAATTGGCCATGCTTCTGATGTTTATTTATGATTTATTATAGTAGTAATACAAGTTTTACTTGGCGAGTAGACGAGGGACAGAATGCAGCCTGTCATTTAAAATGGCTCTTTACTCAGTGAGTATCCGCTGAGTGACGGTCACTGTGCTGACGCTGGAGGGAACGTCACCTCGGGCCGTCCTGAAGGCTCTGACGGCTGATCAAGAAGATGGCTAAGTCAGCGGCCTGCTAAGAGCCAGGTGTCACCAGGGTTCCCACGGCTGCACCAGGGGGGCTGCAGCACACTGACCCTGGGCCGGGAGGCGGAGGCAGACGGTCTGAGCTGCAGCACAGTCACCCCGATGGAGAGAGAAAGGAGCCATGTCCCGGGCACGGCAGAGTCCAGGTGGGAGCGATCACAGCCGCCCGGAAAGCTGCTACTGAATCGTAACTGAGGCGGCTCTGGGGACAGAATTCTGAGCAAGTCATTTAATTTGCTTCACTCGATTTTGCAAAAAAGAGGTTATTCGGATGTTCTTGGATTGACCAATGTTATAGCACAGTGATTCTCAAAATGTGTTCCAAGGATCCCTATGGGTTCCGAGACCCTTTCAGGGGGTGTTCAGGAATGAAACTATATCTATAATAGTACTAAGACATGAATTACCTTTTTAAAACCCCATTCTCACAGAAGGGTTTTCCAGACACCACAAGATAGGTGACAACGTCTTTGCTCTGAAGGATAGTGGAACGTCTGTGTCATCTTATTTCTTAAGAACATAACCCACACAAACAAAAGTTCTTTGGGTTCTCAATAATTTGTAAGAGTGTAACAGGGTCCTGAGATGCTGCCACACCAATCCTAGAGCTGAACTTGTCCTGGAGGCCAAGCCCTCACTTCCTAGTGGGGTGAGGACAGGGCCTGGCCTTGCCTCTGGGGCTCCTTTCCCTCGGGATCATGTGGGCAGCTCAACTCCAAGCCTTTCTGAACCAGTTTAAGAATTCTGACACTGTCAGCTCAGCTAAATCATCTTTATAAAGGTACTTAAGTGTCTCCATGAAGGAACACCACAAATACCAACCGATTCTAATACATCTGTATATTTCACAATGTATATAAATTAATAAGGTTAATGACTATAGTCAACTTACCAGTGTATCTCAATTTCACTTCCCAATACTCCTTACCTCAAAAACAACAGACTCTGCTCCACTGCCCTAGTCTGGCAGATAAACCTACTGCACACAAGTTTTAAAAATTATGACATTTAAAACTGTGCATCAGGGCTTCCCTCGTGGCACAGTGGTTGAGAGTCCGCCTGCCGATGCAGGGGACGCGGGTTCGTGCCCCGGTCCGGGAGGATCCCACATGCCGCGGAGCGGCTGGGCCCGTGAGCCATGGCCACTGAGCCTGCGCGTCCGGAGCCTGTGCTCCGCAACGGGAGAGGCCACAACAGTGAGAGGCCCGCGTACCGCAAAAAAAACAAAACAAAACTGTGCATCAGTTCAGCATTGGTTTTTAACATGTTCATCTTGACGGCCCCCACTAACCATCACCTTGTGCTGACTCTCACCACAGCCTCATGTGGAAAACAGAGAGCATAAAGGAATCGTGTATGTTCATTGTGCAGCATCAGGATTCTGGGATCCAAAACGAGAAAAGAAGGTTTGGGGGGAAACCAAGGTTGTAACAATACTGAGGTGAGACAGAATAACAGAAAACACTGAAATTCCTATAGATTATACACGGTATTGTGCTGAAGTCTCCGATCAGCCGACACCTTGCAATAGCCGATGGCAAATGGCCATTAATAAACACCTAGGGAGTGACAGTCATCAGTCGAATGAACTAAATCAGAGAGATGCCTGGGTATCAACACTCGTTTAAAGATTAGCAACTGTTAAGTCCATGTCTTGAAATTTACGCACAGAGAAGGCAGAATTTCTGACCAGTCTCATATGGTCATGTGCAAGGCCCATGTTTGTCAGTGTCAGGATAGAATTTCAGCATCAGAAGCTGGAATAGGAAACAAGGAACCTCTCCAGAGCTCTCAGACACACGGCCCCGCTGACACCCTGATGTCAGACCCCTCGCCTCCAGAACTGGGAGATGGTGCACCCATTTCCTCAGCCACCCAGTGTGTGGCACTTCGTCACGGCAGCCCCAGGAACCCGACACTGGTCCTGACAGAGCAGGCTCTCAACAGACATCTGTTGAGTGAATGGATGAGTGACAGCCGAATGTCTGTGTAAATATACAAATAACTCCACGTTTTGGGCCAGGTCACCTCAGAAACCATTCTTTCTTCCTAGTACACAAGGAAGCTGAATTCAGCCAAAGTGTTCTGGCTTAGGATTTTCCTGTCCTTATTGCAAAGATCTGCAGAAAAGGTATTTTCAGCGAGTGCCAAGGTGTGAAAACAACGTTTTCTGGGACTCTTTTCACCCCAGGACAATCACTGTGGAAGGCTGTGCCGAGGGGCCAGGGCAGCAAAGCCACGCTCGTGACCGGGCCCCTCCAGTGTGTCACTATGTCGTGTGGTTGTCACTCTTCACCTGCCTTTCTGGTGAAGGGGACCACTGTCGCCTGGAGAGGACACCCACTTGAAGAGAAGCTGCTGTGAGCCCAGTCTCGGGTGGAGCCCCAGGATGTGTGCTGGGCCAGCTCAATCCACTCACCGAGTGCCCTCCTTGAAGATGTCTTTGGAAGGGTCCTCCTGCAGCTGTAGTCGGCACTCCTGCACGACGTGGGCCGGTATTTCTGGTAGAGGGGTTGCCGAACTCTTAAGACAGCACAGACCAAATGCGTGCCAATTAGTGATTTCATAATTTACCAACTGAAAACAGAATCTAACGCTTATTGTGCCATGAAGTATATGAAATAACAGGTCAGAGGGCCACCTTCACCCTCCACCCCAGCCTCATTCTCCAGAGTTCAGTGTGTCACCTGCCCCTTTAGACCATTCCTATGCAGGGTCCCCAAGGCATATCCGCACACCCATCTTCACAGCAGCATTATTCGTGATACCCGAAAGATGGAAATAACCCAAGTGTCCGTCAATGGGTGGACAGATAAACAAAATGTGGTCAATCCCGACAAGAGAATATTATTCAGCCTCAAAAAAGAAGGAAATTCTGGGACCTCCCTGGTGGCCCAGTGGGTAAGACTCCGTGCTCCCAATGCAAGGGGTCCGGGTTCGATCCCTGGTCAGGGAACTAGATCCTGCATGCATGCCACAACTAAGAGTTCATGTGCCGCAACTAAGAGTCCACATGCTGCAACGAAGATCCTGTGTGCCACCCAACTAAGACCCGTCGGAGCCAAAATAAATATAATAATTAAAAAAAGAAGGAAATTCTAATACCTGCTACAACCTGGATGAACCTTGAGGACATTATGCTAAGTGACATAAACCAGTCACAAAAAGATATACTATACGATTCCACTTACATGAGGTCCCTAAACTAGTCAGATTCAGAGAGACAGAAAATAGATGGTGGGTGCCAGGGGCTGAGGGGAGGGGGAAGTGGGGAGCTAGTGTTTAATGGGACAGAGTTACAGTTTTGCAAGATGAAAAAAGCACAGGAGATGGATGGTGGTGATGGCTGCCCATCAATGTGAATCAGATGGTAATTTTGGTTTTTTAATCATAATTAAAAATGTAAACACACACACTCAGAAATACCCGCATTTTTCCCTCATAGAAACGGGATAAATATATATACAGTTTTGTAAGTATATGAGGAATCCTACAAAGCTACCCTACCTTCTTTAATGACCACACGGTTTCCCAGAGCATGAGTTTCTGTTCCTCTTAACCATTCTAGTTGCCAGTATTCTCCACTGCAAACACCACTGCCATGAACATCTTTGTACAATTGTGTTTTGTTTTTGTTTTTGGTTTTTTTTAAATTTATTAATTAATTAATTTATTTTTGGCTGCGTTGGGTCTTCATTGCTGCGCGCGGGCTTTCTCTAGTTGCGGTGGGCGGGGGCTACTCTTCGTTGCGGTGCGCGGGCTTCTCACTGCGGTGGCTTCTCTTGCTGTGGAGCACGGGCTCTGGGCGCAAGGGCTTCAGTAGTCGTGGCTCGCGGGCTTTAGAGCGCAGGCTCAGTAGTTGTGGCACACGGGCTTCGTTGCTCCGTGGCATGTGGGATCTTCCCGGGCCAGGGATTGAATCTGTGTCCCCTGCATTGGCAGGCGGATTCTTAACCACTGCGCCACCAGGGAAGCCCAGGATATACACGCATTTTAAACGTTGATATTTATTGCAAACTTGCCCTCCAGAAAGGCAATTTCCTAATCACTCTATGTTCTCACCAATATGTCCCCACGCACCAGTGTCCCATTCTCTTAACCCTCATCCAGAGGAGTTCGGAAAAAGAAAACACAGAGCAAAAATCTTGTCCAGATTTATTGAAAAAAACACACAGATCACGTCCAACGGTACATTTAATTTGTCATTAGATAAGAGAAGTGCGTTCTACGCTCATTTCTGCCTATGGTACAGCTGAGTAACTACAGCAAAACTTTGCATTTTCTATAAATCAAAGCAGCTATTTCATCAAAGATGCTGAACAACTGATAGACATATACAACAAGCATACTCACGTTTCCCCCCTCAAAACCAATAATATTGTTATAACTAATAATGATTAATAGCTGTCACTTAAATTGCCTAACACAAGTGAGGCATTATGTCACTTAGCCTCATAAGAACCCGACGGAAGAGGCTCAAGGAGCTACAGACATTCTTGTACAGCCACAGCGACCAGCGGGGGAGCCAAGCGTGAACCATGCTCCCCCCCCAGACCAGTTCCTTCCTACGCGGCAAGGCTGTGGTGAGGATAAGAGGGATCCTTTCACTCCACCATTTCAGAAAAGAAGTTTGTTCACTCATTTACTCAACAAATACACATTGTTCCAGCCCAAGGACAAAACAGAAAACAAGACAAGATTTCCACAGAAGACAAAGCTATTAAATTCCCACGCTTGTTTCACAAATACACGTTTTACAGAAGTCGCTCTCAGTATTCTCCACAGTATTACTGCCCCTCCGAAGGTCTCAATTTCCTGAAGCTAAATTCAATAGCAGGTTAGTTCTATTAAGACTGTTTCATGATTTATTCCAAATAATGATCCTTTTTCAATACCTTAGAAAACAATTCATATTAATAGAAATGTATTTGCACAGAAAGGAAAAGCAATTCTTCTAGTCCCCCGTGAGCGGGGAAGTAAGGTAAGCTAAAGTATAGCAAGCTAAGGAATGGTACGACTGGCCAGATGCTAAACACAAGCAAAGCGGGACACAGACATCGGCTGCGGCTTTAAATTAAGGAACAAGAATTATTTTTCAGAAAAGGTAGTCACCGGGGAAAATTGACCAAATGACTCGGTGCCTTGCTTTTTACTTTTTTTTTTTTTTTTGCGGTAAGGGGGCCTCTCGCTGTTGTGGCCTCTCCCGTTGCGGAGCACAGGCTCCGGACGCGCAGGCCCAGCGGCCATGGCTCACGGGCCCAGCCGCTCCGCGGCACGTGGGATCCTCCCGGACCAGGGCGCGAAGCCGCGTCCCCTGCATCGGCAGGCGGACTCCCAACCACTGCGCCACCAGGGAAGCCCGGTGCCTTGCTTTTTAAAGTTCTGGCCACCGAGATCTCTGATACGGAAGTCCACTGATGCGGAAGAAGAGGTGGGTGGATTTTGCAGATATATGCTTATTTCTTGTCTGTTGAAAATATATATCTTTATTGGGTTGTCTTTTTATGGTTGAATTGTAAGAGTTCTTCATATATTTTGGATACCTGATCCTAATTGGATACTGGACTTGCAAATATTTTCTCCCTTTCTACAGGTGGCCTTTTATTTTTCTTTATAGTGCTCTTTGAAGCACTATTTTGATGAAGTCCAATATATCTGTTTTTTTTCTTTTGTTGCTGTCCTTTTGATGTCATATATGAGAAACCACTGTCTAAATCAAGGTGAAATGAAGATTTACACCTAAAAGATTTTCAGCTAAGATTTGTGCCTTAGAGATTTCCTCTAAGAGTTGTACAGTGTTAGCTCTTACATTTAGGTGTTTGATCCATTTGAAGTTAATTTTTGTATATGGCATTAGATAAGGGTCCAACTTCATTCCTTTGCATGTGGATATCCAGTTGTCCCAGCACCATTCATCGAGACTATTCTTTCCCCCACTGAACTGTGCTGGCAGCTTTACTGTAAGTCAGTTGACTGTTTCTGGACTCTCCATTCTATTCCATTGATCTGTATGTCTGTCCTTATGCCAGTACCATACTGTCTTGATTACTGTAGCTTTGTAGTAAGTTTTGAAATTGAGAAGTGTAAGTCCTCCAACTTTGTTCTTCTTTTTTAAGATTGTTATATTCTGGATCCTTTTAGTATGTGTATGAATTCTGAGATCAACTTGTTAATTTCCTCAAAAAAAAGGAAGTTAAGATTTTGATAGGGATTATATTGAATCTACAAGTCAGTATTGTCTTCTAATCCATGAACATAGGATATCTTTCCATTTTATTATAGTTCTTCTTTACTTTCTTTCAATGGTGTTTTGAAGTCTTCAGTGTATAAATGTTGCACTTCTTTTGTTATACTTACTCCTAACTATTCTATTCTTTTTACTGTTATTGTAAATGGAATTGCTGTAATTTCATTTTTGGATTTTAATTGATAGTGTATACAAACACAATAGAATTCTGTATAGTAATCCTGTACCCTGCAACCTTGATGAACTCATTTATTAGCTGTAGCAGCTTTTTTTTCCCCTAATGTGTGTGTAGATACTCAGGACTTTCTATATACAAGTGCTATGATCTGAAATGTGTGCCCCCCAAAATTTACATGTTGAATTCCTAACCCCAAAGTGATGCTATTGGGAGGCAGGGCCTTTGGGAGACGCTTAGATCATGAGGATGGAGCTCCCATGAATGGGACTGGTGTCCTTACAACAGAGGCTCCAGAGACACCCCACACCTCTTCCACCACGTGAGGACACAGCAAGCAGGTGCCAGCTATGAACCAGCAAGAGGGCCTTTACCAGAAGGTGACCGTGTTGGTTGTATATGTCCTTCACCAGGTTGGGAAAGTCCCATTCCACTCCTAGGTTGTTGAGGGCTTTTATTATAAAGGAGTCTTTGGATTTTGTCAAATGCTTCTTCTGCCTTTTCTGAGATAATCATGTGAGTTTTTTTTGTACTTTATTAATATAATGTATTATGTTAATCTGATTATCAGATATTGAACCAACTTAGCATTCCTGGGATAAATCACACTCGGTGTTGGTCATGGTTTTTTTTTTTTTTTTTTTGTAAATCAAGTTTAGCTGAACTTTAATATTTGGGAATCTTGAAAAGAAAACTAAGAATGACTGAGTGAAAGGATAAAGAAATATAAGACTGAACACATACAGTCTTGCCTTACTTTTAGGGGCTTTAGGTATTCGGTGGTGTTGAAATTTGAGTAAAGGAGTTCCCTTTTTGATATGTAAAAGAAAGAGATTTTTGTTGTTGTTTTTAAAGAAAGGACAACAAGAAGAAAAACGACAATGGTGGTGTGACTCATTAAGTTATTTTTTTTTTTTTTTTTTTTTTTAAGTAAGGCAGAAGGATAGCTTCCCCCAGTTGACAAGGAAAAACAAAAACAACACCACCATCTTCAGGCTGCCCAGAGACATCTCTCACTACTACTGAGCCACAGATGGATGTCTGCTGTTCCCTCCTGCTTCCATACTTGCTATATCCACCAGGATAACTTTTCAAATTTCGTCTTTCTCCTTGACAACCTCTCTTGCTGTGTGAGTATTTCTTCAGGAAAGGTGAAGAGGGAGAAAGAAGTGAACAAAAAAGACTTTACAAACTACATAAGGGAAACTTCTCTTCTATTGCTCCCAGTTAGTGTCCTGGGGGTACCGACAAATATGTAGATGCTGTGAACACCTGTGTTTGAAAAGAATGATCTATAGCCCAGTATTGAGGCCGGAGGCTGGGGCAGATCCAAGCTTTGGAGTCAAAACCTATTTGGATGTGAATCACATCTCTGCCAGCACTGGCTGTGGGAATATCTTTGGGCCCGCTAGACAGTCCACTGGTCTTTCCCTCTGGCATTCAATCTTTCTTATGAGTGAGCCCCCCTCCTTGATGGCCCTACCACCTTCATTAGCTACGTTCACAATCGGAATGTTCTGAACCCATTCTCACCACACTATTCTCCAACTACAGTCTCTCCACGTTTGATTCCCGACTCAGGTACTTACTAGTTGTGTAGTCTTCGGTAAGTCATTCACCCGTTCTGATTTTCAGTCTTATCATGTGAAAACAGACATAATAATACACCTACATCATAGGTTTGTTGTGAGCATTAAGTCATGTGTTACATGCACAAGGCTTAGAGCAGTCCTCACTACATATTAGCCATCACTCCTCCAACTCTGAAACAGAGTTACCTGCCCAGGGTTTAGGACTTCTAACGGCCTGCAAAAAGCAAGCCATATGGAGGGAAGCAGGTTACAGCTCTAATTTCAGGGACGCACTAAACTGTAAGAACCAAGTGACTCAAAAAGTATAAAAACGAAGACCCATTAAAGCTTTTAAGAGAAAAATGTTATTTTCAGTCCAAGAGAGGAAAGTAAAATTCTCTAAGCCTATATTCTGTTTGAGGACACATAGAAACTTTAAAATTCTTTAAATCAATTTCCCAAGAGATTTAATTATTAATTTCCTCAGTGAATCAAAAAAGTGCAGAAAAGGAACATTTATAAGAAATTAAAGATTTTAACACACTTATTCCAACTAAGTAAAGATGGCTATGCACACTGATTATTTAAGTAAGTTATTTACAAATCTTTACGCTACAGAAGAAAACACACCTCTTCAATGAAGAATGTGTCTAAGACCAGGCGGCCACAGTCTCTTCTGTCCTCATCTGCAGCCACTTCATATTCCGCCCAATTGCAGCAACGAGAGAAAAGAAAAATGTTAGTTAAGCTTCTTCTCGGACTTCATAGTGTTTCAAAAATCCTCTGACTTGTGGAATTGACTTGGCGCCCTAAGAACCAGAGAGCAGCTCTATTGATCAAGTGTCTGCAGCTCTTCTTTGGAAAACTAATGGCCATGAGGGGAAAAAAACTTTTTTTTTTTTAAGGGATTAATAATGTAGTAAAGGGCTTCTCTGGTGGCGCAGTGGTTGAGAGTCCGCCTGCCGATGCAGGGGACGCGGGTTCGTGCCCCGGTCCGGGAAGATCCCACGTGCCGCGGAGCGGCTGGGCCCGTGAGCCATGGTCGCTGAGCCTGCGCGTCCGGAGCCTGTGCTCCGCAACGGGAGGGGCCACGACAGTGAGAGGCCTGCGTACCGCAAAAAAAAAAAAAATAATAATAATGTAGTAAAGCAATACATTCCACAATGCTCTCTACATCATACTATATTTTCAGCCATTAAATGCAGCCAAATAAAATGGAACAAAATAAACAGCTTGGGCTATTCTAGGCAACGGCATTTCAGAGGGGTCCAAGAGGCACTTGGACACCTGCGTGCAGCGCTCCCAGGGAAGTCAGAGGTGGCGAAACCTGAGCAGGGGTCATTCACACACAGGTGTCAGGAGAGAGAACGCAGGAGAGGATGACACCAGGCAGGCCAGAAAACGGAGAAGTCAAAAGCAGCACCTGATCAATATCTAAACATCCATAAAGGACAAGCAAGGAGCAAGAAACAGAAAAGAAAACAGAGGAGAGACCACAAAGGCCTAGATAAGAGAATTTCAACAAGAAGTTGCTCAACAGTGTCCAGAGCCCCGGAGCCTCAGGCACGAGGAGGCCTCAGCGAAGCCCCAATTTTGCAGGTTGGGGTCTTAGAAGAGCAGTGAAGCTAAAAGCCAGATGGAGCTGAAGAGAGAAGTGAGGAAAGGAAGACCCAAGGAAGCTGATCCACTGAACACATGAAGGGGACTCCGGGACAAAGTGCTGTGGGCTGGAGTCCACCCTCGTCCCTCATTCCGTACCCTTCTCAGGCCCAGCACAGGGGCCGTGAGCACCATGCTGAGCACCCGGCCAGAGCCAGCCCCGCGCTCTGTGTTCAGGGGATGGTCCTCACCAGCACGCTGACTGGCACACTGTTCAGCTCAAGCTCCGGGAGCTCTGGACACTACACAGCAGGCAGTTAATGGGAAAGAAAGCTGTGATTCTGTGATGGCCTTTGGACACGTGCCAGCTTGACGGGCACTGATCTCCAGTTACTCAGACGTTAACCTAGTGTTGCTGTGATGCTGGTATTCGTACAATAGATGCGATCAGAGTCTCTATTGGTTGGCTTTAACGCTGCGTAATCTGCGTGGGTCTGATTCAATCAGTGGAAAGGCCGTACAAACAGAGCTGAGGCTTCCTAGAAGAAACTCTGCCTGAGGACAGCAGCTTCACCCCACTTCTGCAGAGTTCCATCCTGCCCTTCCTGGTGGTCTGTCCTGCAGATCTCCAACTTCCCTAGCCAGATCTCACAGTCATGTAAGCTAGTTCCTTGCAATAAATTTCTCAATCTGTATATCTCACTGCCTTCGTTTCTTTCATCGGCCCCGGACTGATACAGACGCTATTAATTCATTCAACAAACACTAAGCAGGGAACAGGGCACACAACCATGTCAGGGGCCATGAGGGGGGAAATGGATAAGGTGCCCTCTCTCCGCTCAAGAAGTTCAGAGAACCTGCCATCACCCACTACAAGGAGAGTCGGAGCAGTGAGTGCTGCACAATGGCAGGGGCAGGCCTGATGTATTCACCCACACGGCTATCATCAAAAAGCAAAACCTGCTGGCCCGCTCAACAGGCCAAGCACCTAGTAACTAACAGGTAGGACAATATCAGAAGAGTTGGCTGTGCACCTGAAACTAACACAACACTGTAAATCAACTATAGTCCAATATAAAATAAAACAAAGAAAAAAAAAAGATTTGAACCTAAAAGAGAGTTTTAACAAGGCAGGTTAGCCATTTTAGAATAAAGAAGAATTGTAGGTCCCTAAATTCTTAAAATACAGCAGCTTGGCAACTAGAACCCACACATGAAGACATATCGACATTCTAGTCCCAAACTCAGTAGGCAGCCCTACTGCCTCTGGGTCCACTTTGAAACAGGACTGCCCCCTTTCCCAGCCCTGCCTTATCCCATCAAGGTACCAGGAAGGAGAGGCCTGGGGAGCTCCAGGGGGTAGGAAGCAAACAACAAAACTGGCAAGAGCCTCAAACGGTTTTCTGAAAAAATACATTACAAATACACATTTTTAAAAAGCTGTGTCAGGGAAAAAAATGAATAAAAACTCCAGGATATAGGATAGTACTCTGCATACAACAGGAGTCAATACATAGTTGCTGATGTAACTAGGACAGGCTAAAGCAGAGAGAGGAGGTGTCACAATCTTGGTGCACATAACTGAAAGTAAGAGAGCTTTTCTATTAAATTCTACCAATCTTCTGTTAAGCTGCTGCTGAATTTCATAGTTTTCAAACTTCTAGGCTTGCCAGTCGTATCTCTAAAGTTTCAG